TGGCGGACGAATAAATGTTGATCATGAGTACCCGGACCCCACCCCCGCCAGCCTCACCGACAGTGATCCAGATGATGAATCGTAACCAGGTCAGTTTGGTCAAGGACAGCATAAGGGCGATGTTGATGAGCATACTGAGGGAGGGGAGGAGGGGAACCAGAGGGATCTGTCGGGGAGAGAAACATGAGAGAGGTTTAGTTTTAGTAGAGGTTTTACGCAGCTGCATAAGGTCATATGAGCGCCAGAAAATTAGAGGTGTTACAAGAGAGTAACAAACATAAAAAAGAAGAAGGGGAGGTAAAGACGATAGATGTTTCATAGGAAAGAAGAAGCAAACTACACCAGAGCACCCGCCAACCACCCACAAACATGAGATACGATACAATAAGATAAAGTTAAGGAGAAAACGGACTAACGGCAGAAAGAATATATTGGATGGAGGAGTCAGATAATGAATTAGTGAATGAATTGACGCATGTGGAAAAGAAGGAAAGTAAGAAGAAAACGGAAGAAAACGGTTGACAGGTAAAGGTAGAAAACCCGCAAGAAACGTGGATGAAAGAAAGAATGACAAAATATACACAAAAACAATGGGTATCGTGGTATATAAAAGAAGCGGATTTAGAAAACTAAAAGTCATTCAGTAATCAATGAATGCAAAAATAACCAAAATAAAAAGTATGATGAATGGATACTACATCAATTTAAAAAGTGAATAAATGGAGAGAATAGAAATAGAAATATTTCGGAGACGGGTTCATCAATCAGTGAAGGAATGAAGGAGTGTGCAGTCGATTGACTGGATTAATGCATTTTTGTTTCAAAACAGTTTCTGCAAGTTGAATGCTATTTCGCGAAAAGACGAACATAACTGTTTGATCGAGAATATTGGGGTACCTTCTGAATCACATTGTACGAGGTCAGAACAGTAGGCCAGAAAACTGAGTAAAATGAAAACAGTGATGACAATAAATTTCTTTTTTGAAAGCGCACAGCAAATTGAATACTCAAAACAAAAAAACAAAAAAAAACCCGAGCTGTTTCAATGTGATCTTTTACCATCTATTGTCACTGAGCAACGGTTAGGCGCTTCGTTGTCGATTCACGAGATCTGAATTTGATTCCCGAATGGGGAGATTATTTTATCGTGTGTCTCTGTACTAGCTGTATTTTTGATGGGATGGTGTAAAGTTGCATCAATCTCAGCCCGGTTTGGCCCTGACAGCCACTGTGGTCGAAACCCAGCTCTCAAATGATATGAATTGTGCGTCGCTTCAGGTTTAAGAACACACACTTTGAAAACCAACCAACCAATTAATCAACAAACCAACTAACCAATCAACCAACCAACCAACAAACCAACCAACTAACCAACCAACTAACCAACCAACCAACCAGCCAGCCAACCAACAAACCAACCAACCAACCAACCAACCAACCAGCCAACCAGCCAACCAACCAACCAACCTACCAAC